TGTGGTGTGTGTGTGCGTGTGTGATCATCTCATGTCTTCCCTGTCCTCGTTGTCCGTTTTGCATCTCTCCTCTCTTCGCCATGCAGGGTGAGAAGCGCTGGATGGATGTCGCACGATAGTCGAAGAGGTTTGGGGCCCTTCGGGGGCGGTTCGGGGGGTCTGGGGAGCCCTGGAGGGCCCAGGGAGCTGTGTTTCCCGGAGGAGGTGGGGACCCTCCTCAGAGGTGACGCACCCCTGGGCATAGCCTGGAGCGCCGAAGGGGGGGGTGGCAGAAAAGGGCCCGCCTTCCCGAAACGAAAGGGCCCTCGTCTTCGAGGGGTCTTGAGAAGTTGATAACTTTAGGTCGGGCATGTCCTCCTACAGGGGGATTTAGGGCGAAAAACAAGAAATAGTCGAAAAATACACCAAAATGACCCAAAATGATTCCAAAAATAGTCCCCAGAGACTCAATGATAATCCTCCCCCTCCTCGGCGGAAGGCCGGCGGACAGCAAAACGGGGGCGGTTCCGTCGGCGCAAGACCGCCGGAAGCTGGCGGAAGTCAGAAGCGCGTCCCAAAGAGATGGCATGTCTTGTTGGCTCAGGGTTTCTGGGATCGGCCAGCTCCTCCTGGAAAAATGGGGGGGTCGAGGAGGACGCCAGAAACCAGGACACTGCAGCTCGGGACGTTTGCCAGATCCGGCTGGAGCGGACGAATGTTGCGATTCACGGCTGCAGTTTTATCGGGTGCGCTAGTGCCCTGGCGCATCAGCGTCCCCGCGCAGGCGGGCTTGACATCGTATTTGTCCTAACCATCCTGTGGTGTTAGGTCCTCATTTTGAATCAGCCGCGCCCCGCGTCTCCTCCTCTCCTCCTCCTCCCCCTTTTCCTTCCTCCTGCCGCCGCCCTCCGCATGTCACCATCGCCATCATCAGTTTGCAATTCTGCTTCTGCCCTTCGCATGTCCATGTCGGCACACTCCTCACACGCTTCCTGGCCCAATAGGGAGCTCCACACAGGCCCCATTGGCGAAGTTTTCATGCGGTTCCGCACCCATGTCGATGCGCCCTTTACACTTCTCGTGGCCCCTTAGGTAGCCCCACCGAAGTGAGGCCCCAGTGGCGACGTTCGCATGCGGTTCCCCACCCATTTCGGCACACCCCTCACACGCGTCGTGGCCCCATTGGGAGCTCCACCCAAGGCCCCAGTGGTTTCATGGGGGGCTCCACCGAAAACGACACAACCCGGGCATCCGCCACTGCACACGATTGGTTCCGTCCCCTGGACAGCGTTTGTGGCTGCGTCCAGGCAGTGCCTCTCTGTGCTCCACGTTGCGACCTCGCCGCGCCTCTTGAGGCGAGGGGCAAGCGCGAGAGCCTGTGGCTCGGCCACGAGCGAAGGGGGAAGTGAGAAGGAGAAGGCTCCTCGGAAGGTTCGGAAGTCCCCTGGCCTTCTGAGAAGTCTTCTAAGCATTCCCCGAAGATGCAGAAAACCTTCTCGGAAGGCGCGAGGGCTTCTGAGGAGTCCCGCCGCCTTCCGAGAAGGCCTTCTCCTTCTCACTTCCCCCCCTCGCTCGCGGCCGAGTGGCAGATCTGCCTGCCGACTCCCCAGCTCGGGGGGCAGCCGTCGGTCGTCTGCGCCGTGCCCCAGGCCGCGACCCCCGACGCGGGGCGCTCCAGAGAGGGCATCGCTTTCGGCGCGCCTCGCCTTCGGCAGAAGGCCGGCAGAAGGCTGGCGAAGGTGCAGTCAATATTCATAGCAAGGACGCACGGATGTCCTTTGGGTACCTTGCGTCCTTGCCTCTGCGGCCCGTCTTTCGCGGCTTTCCCTGGCCAGCCTTGCAGTCCGCCGCCCAAAAAGTGCCCGTCCTTACCGCCCGTCCTTACCATGGATTTCGACTGTAAAACGGCGCCGGGGCCTGCGGAAGCTCGGCGGAAGGCAGCGGAGGGGAGATGAAGTGAGACATCAGCATTTTCGGATTCTGGGTTTCTGGAGTTCGACACGCCGTCTTGTGGTTTTTGCATCCGGGCGTTGATCCGTACAGTGGGGGCCCATGCCAAGAAACACCCTGCTTGTCTCCAGGGTGCCCTGGGTTTCTTGGGTTTCGATGGCGTTGCCATGAAAAGCGTGACGTTCCCGCGGCAAAAATTGATGGACGTCCTGGGGTCTAAGGGTTGGGTTTCTTGTGGAAGTTTTCTTGTGGACTGGCCTCCACTGTAAGTTCTGGTTTCAGGAAAGCGTGACGCTCCCGCGCCAAACATCCATGGACGTCTTGGGCGACGTCGATGGACCGTCGGCGGGGAAGGTTTCTTGTGGACTGGCCTCTCCACTGGAAGCTCTAGCTCCAGGAGGGCGTTTTTGTCGGGCCCAGGGGTTGTCGAGAAACCAGGACGCCCCCCCGGGGGCGCGAAGGCAAGTGGTGCTTCGCTCGTCGCGGCCTGGGCTGGCGAGGGGCCCTGATCCGGGGTGGGAGTTCGCGGGGGCGCGAAGACAGCCTCGCAGGCGACGTTTCTCCCCCAGCCCCCGACTTCTTGACGAAAACTTAAGCCGCTCAGAAGAGGAGGAAAACCCCCGACGCGCGAAGTTTGCTGGCCTGGAGGCGCGATCTGGAGCGGCAGGGCCGATCTTGTGAGGGTAGGGAGAGGGGGGGCAGGCGCACGGACAGGGCAGAGAGTCCAGGCGCCGGAGGTCTGGGGAGCCCTGCAAGCTGAGCGCGAATTAGTGCGGGGGGGCTATTACACATGGGGAGGGCGAAAGGCTCCCTTTTTTGTGCCCTTCTTGACCCTTGAGGGCTCCTTTCAGGGGCCCTGGAGGGCCCCTTTTCGGCAAGCCCTCGCGGCCCCTCCATTGATCGCCCCCCACTAATTCGCGCCCATGCAAGTCGCCTCCGCGGGCGCATGGCTGTGCGCGCCCAGTTCGAGAGCAGCAGCGAGGTCGGTGTGTTCGCTCGCCTCACGAACTCCTACTGCTTGGTGGCCCAGGGCGGCTCGGAGAACTTTTACAGCGTGTTCGAGGCGGAGCTCGCCAAGCACGTGCCGGTCGTCCACTGCTCCATCGGGGGCACGCGCATCGTCGGCAGGGTGACGGTCGGCAACAAGAATGGCCTCCTCGTGCCGAGCATCACCACGGACGGCGAGCTGCAGATGTTGCGGAACATGCTCCCCGAGGACGTGAAGGTCTCAAAGGTGGAGGAGCGCCTCTCCGCCCTCGGGAACTGCATCGCGTGCAACGATTACGTGGCGCTCGTGCACACCGACCTGGACAGGGAGACGGAGGAGGTCATCGCGGACACGCTGCAGGTGGATGTCTTCCGGGCCACCATTCGGAGAAGAGGCGACGACACGGGCACAGATCTTCGGAGGCCCGCGCGGAGTCCTTGGATCTGCGCTGAGCCCCCCCGTGGCGGCGCCTCCGGCGCGGCCCCTGGCGCGCTCCCCGCGCCCGGGCGGGGGGCCCAGCGCCGATGCCAGAAATGCGCGCAGACCTGCGAACGCTTGTGCTCGTGCCGCGGCTTCTCCCTCCCGCCGTAGCGCAGAACGTGCTGGTGGGCAGCTACGCGGTGCTCACCAACCAGGGCGGCCTGGTGCACGCCCGGACGCCGCTGCAGGACCACGGCCGCCGAGCCTCGGCCGCGAGGGCCGGGGCGGCCCGGGCCCATCGGACCGCCCTGCGCTCGCTCCGGGGCGCTGCGCGGCGTTCTGGGGCGGCCGCGGCGCCCGCCACGTCCCCAGAGTTCCGAGGATCGGAGGTCGGGGGGTGGTGAACGGAAGTGACCCCAGACCGGGAAACCTGTTTCGGTTTCGGGTCGTGTCGTACGTGCGGGCGGGACGGAGCTGCGCGAGTCGAGTTCCTGCAGTTGTAGAGGCCACCTGGAGCCCAAAAGGTCGCCCCCCCCCCCCGCCCCTTCCCCCCCCCCGCCGGGCGCGGCCCCCGATGGTTGTGCCGATGGTTTTCCCGATGGTTGTGCCGATGGTTGTCCCGATGGTTGTGCCGATGGTTGTCGAGATGGTTGTCCCGATGGGTGTCCCGATGGTTGTCCCGATGGTTGACCCGATGGTGTGCCCGATGGTTGTCCCGATGGTTGTCCCGATGGTTGGTCCGATGGGTGTCGCGATGGTTGTCCCGACGGTTGTCCTGATGGTGGTTCCGATGGTGTTGTCCCGATGGTTGTCCCGATGGTGGTCCCGATGGTTGACCCGATGGTTGACCCGATGGTGTGCCCGATGGTTGTTGTCCCGATGGTTGCCCCGACGGGTGCCCCGATGGTTTGCCCGATGGTTGTTCCGATGGTTGACCCGACCGTGTGCCCGATGGTTGTCGCGATGGGTGTCCCGATGGTTGTCCCGACGGTTGTCCTGATGGTGGTTCCGATGGTGTTGTCCCGATGGTGTTGTCCCAATGGTGGTTCCGATGGTGTTGTCCCGATGGTGTTGTCCTGATGGTTGTCCCGATGGTTGTCCCGATGGGTGGCCCGATTGGTGTCCGACGGTAGTCCCGATGCTTGTCCTTTTGGTTGTCCCGATAGTTGTTCCGATGATTGTCCCGATGGTGCTCCCGATGATTGACACGATGGTTGTCCCGATGGTTGTACCGATGGTTGCCCCGATGGTTGCTCCGACGGTTGTCTCGATGGTTGTCCCACGGTTGCCCCGTTGCTTGCCCCAATGGTTGTCTCGATGGTTTTTTCGTTGTTGTCCCGATTGTAGTCCCGACGGTTGTCCCGATGGGTGTCCCGATGGTTGTCCCGAAGGTTGTCCCGAAGTAACACTGGCATCGCGCTATGGTGCACCAGCATGTAGGTTGTGTTTTGAACAAAAATAAAACAACACAAAGCATCGCGTCACATGGCCATCACCGTGACACCATCCCGCCATCGCCACCATCATCACCGCCACCACCACCACGACCACTCACCATCATCAACAATACCAGGTATATAGAGAGATAAGTATATAGAAAAGTATATAATTACATAGATGAATGTATACCTATGTATATGTAAAAACATCGTTATATATAGATGGATAGATAGACAGCTGTGCATGTATACATATCTAGGCAGAAAGACACTTATATATATATATGTCTATACTTCGATATATGTATTGGTTGATTGATAAGTAAATAGATGTGTAGATAACTTGGTAACTGTAGAATCAGATAGCTAGCTGGATCTATAGATAGAAAGCTTGATATAAGGAGTGTAAATATATATAGAGAGAGAGAGAGATGGATGGAGATTCAGGTATTCAGATCGATATATATATATAATACATAAATATATATGTATATATATATACACACATAGATAGCATCACCACCCATCACCACCCCCACCACCATCGTCACCACCACCACCACAAACTCAGAACCATCGCAAATCGATCGCCTCCCCCTTCCCCCCCCGAAACCTCGATATCACCCGAAGGGTGGTCCTATCGGTGTGATGTTTTCGATCCGGCGTTTTGTCTTGGATTTCGGCCTCCAGGGCTAATTACGTAGCCTGGGGACCATCAAAACTGGATCCGGGACGAGAAACCACCCCTGGAAAAGGGGTCGGGACCTCCTGGGGCCGCGGACTGGAAAAAGTCCGATGCGGGCCCGGCGCCCCAGCGCCGCACCCACAGCACCCTCGACTGTGCCCACGTGCGGGCGTGTTTCGTGCTTCGTGCTGCTGCGGGGCCGGCGCGAGCTCGGCCTCTGGATGCTTCACGCGCTCGTCCGCCGCGCGGCGTGGCCTCGGCGGCTGAGGCCGCCACGCCGCTGCGGGGCCTTCTGGAGCGGCCGCGGCGCCCGATGCGTCCGATGCGGGCCCGTCGGCTCCCAGACTCCTACTCCTCCTCCTCCCCCGTAGCCAGTCTGGCTCAAGATGATTTCGCCCCGTGGCAGAGCACGGAGACCCTTGGTCCAGGGACAGCAGCTAAGGACCCAGTTCCCACGCCACGCCTTCCAGCTGCCCTGCTGGTTGAGCTTCATATTCGGCTCTGCATTCGCCTGCAGCAGCCTTCACGCGCGATATTGGGTGGCTGGCGCGGGCCACTGTGTATCTCCATGGGAACGCACGCTCATCCACAAGCAGCTGGACCTCTCGCACTTCATCCCAACGGACAGGACCTCGACTGTGGCAAACGTCAACAAGATCCATGGCATGATGGCGCAGCGAAGCTCGCAGTGCATGGCCTACCCGCTCACTTTCGCAAGCAGCTGGAGGAGACCATGGCCGCCCAAATCGCCGACGCCAGCGCCAAGTTCGAAGCCGCAGCACGCGCTGCCACAGCACAAGCCAGCCAAGATTTCTTCGCCCCCATCACGAAGATCACGTCCGAGCTCAGCCAACGTCACGAAGCCACCGAACGCAGCATCCACAGCGTCACACAGCGCACCAAAGACCTCGAGAAGCAGACTGTCGAGCTCAAGACCGCCATTGCAAAGCTCGAAGCCATCGTCACAGCCGCAGAAGCACGCGCCCCCGCCCTCACCCTCGAGGGCGCTGGCACGCGGGACAGGGACCCCGACCCCACAGCGTTTTGGCGCAGCAGCCCACGGGGGTTCAACCAGCCCGACCTCGAACGCGCCCTGACAGAATGGTTTGTCAAAGCCGAAATCACCAAAGACATGGTCACATTTAATACCGTCGGCCCCGCCAAGTGTCACTCGTTCCAGGTCAGCGGCGGCACCGTCGCGGCAGAACCTCGCGCCCAGCGTCTCCACAGTGCTCTCCGCAACGGAAAAGAATGGCGCAGCTTCACCATCGCACTGGGCAGTGGTGCACATGTCCCTCTATATGTTTCAGCGGAAAAAAAAAGCCCGAAAGCCGTCCGCACAGAAGTGCAAGTCAAACGCCTCGCCAAAATCATGCAGAACGCCAACCCCGACGTCGACCTCCGCACGCACAGGACCTTTGGCTACATTGGTAATCGTGGGGGCGCTCTGGTTCGTTTGCTCATCGGCGCCCATGCTGGCGAACCAACGGAGCCCAGCGGTCCAACGCCGCCATGGACCGCGGCTTCACCGAAGACAAGCAGCGGCAGATCAATGCCGAGTTCGCCCCCATCTTCGCGGAGGCCCTCACAGCAGCGCAGTGGCTTTAGCCACCGCTGGAGCCCGCGGCTCCTCCAACCCTCTCAGGAGGGCCTCAATGTAGCTTTCTGGAATATTCAAGCTCTCCTGGGACAATCTAACCAACGCCGCGAAGACAAACGCCGCATGCTTCTACCTTACTTTCGCCAACGCGCTCTTCTCGCTGTTCAAGAAACGCACGGTTCCATCGACGACCTCATTCTCCTGGCCAGTTCGACCCAGCACCCGCGCAAGCCGTTCCACTCGCCCGCGATCGTCAACGACATGACCGTCTCCAACGCTGGCGGCGCCGGCTTCCTCGCCCCACGCGACGAGAGAGAGAGAGAGAGAGAGAGAGAGAGAGAGAGAGAGAGAGAGAGAGAGAGAGAGAGAGTTTCAGCTTCCACCTGAACAACGGCCTCAAACCAGGTTCGAGGTCGTCATCCCTGGCCGCGCCGCTTGGCTGCGCGTCGCGGATGCCCGCCTCCAGCATGAAGCCACCATCCTCAACATCCACAACTACGGCCTCACGCCAGCCGACCGCATTCACCTTCGCGACCACTGGCAATCACATCGACAGCATGCTGACGAGCAGCCCCAACATCGCCTCCCCATGGTCGTGGGCGACTTCAATGTTTCCCCCCCGAAGTCCCTCAATGCGTCCGTCGACTCTGACTCCACCGCCGCGCAGAGATACCAGTACCAGCCTGTCTTCTGGCGCTCGCTGTTTCGTGACATGAGTGAATCAACGATCGACCGCTGATTTATCAACCTTCCGAGCCACCTCATGCCTCTCATGGAGACCATTTACATCGCCGGCGACGCCCCCCTCGAGAACGCCAGGGGCCCGAGCAGCGACCGCGAGATCATGCACCTCCGCATCCGCCTCCGCAAGCCCAAGCCAGCCACCGAGCGCGGCACCCCCGCCTACATCTTCGACGCCGAACACTACAAGCATCACATCAAAAAGATCCTCGCTACCATCGACGCGACGCCGCTCACCCCGACTGCTGGATGGCGCGCTCTCAAGGCAGCGATGTATGTCGCAGCCTCCCGCGCACGCGACGCGCTCACCAAGATTCCTGTTGCCGAGCTGAAGTCCATGACTGCGAGCGTCTCCACGGAGACCCGCGCCGCGACGTTGCGCAGCACTGCCCGCGCAGTCCGGCACCAGCACGCCCCTCTCGCGAAGACGCTGACCGAGAACACCGAGGTCGGGCACCTGCACCTGAAGATCCTCGGCAACACGGTCAGCATCAACGACGTGGCACTGTTCGCCACGACCGCGGACACCACGCACGCCAGCCTCAGCGACGAGCGCAAAGCACTCTCTGCTGCCCGCTCGCGAGCTGCCTTTGCCGCCAACAACGCCCCCCTCGGCCAGAAGTGGCGCCGGCGTGCCAAGCGAGAAGGCTGCCGCGGCGAACTCTGGAGACCGTTCTCCAAGCGCCTCGCGTTGACTGGCATCAAGATCATCGTCGGCAACTCGCCCAACGTCGCGACACATGCGCCACTGGGCCCCCGTGTTCGCCGAGAAGCACGCGGGCGAGAAGCG